ATTTTAATTTTTAAATTTTAAAGTTCAAATTTAAATTTATTTCTTAAACTTTATTATAGTTGTTATTAATTTTATACTCTTCTTTTTAAAATTATTTTTTTAATACTCTTTAATATATTGGCTTATATTAATTTCAATTGTATTAATCAAGATTAATAATATTAATAATGTCATTAATATATATTATTTTATTTTATTCCTACTTTGCTGGTAATCTTTAATACTTTATGTATTAACTAAAAATTATATTCATGTGTTTTTCAAGTGTCACCATGATATGCCTATATATGATAAGTCAGTCTTCCTTCTTCCTTCTCCCTCCCCTGTTTAACTCTTTCTTTCTTCTTCCACTTTCCCCGCCTCCCGTGATTTACAATTTCTCCTCTTTTTTCTTCTTTTCTCTTCCTGTCTAAAAATTATTTGAGAGGTCAAATTTTCTGATCTCTTGACTGAGTACACTTGAACCTACGTAAATTATTAGAGATAGTTTAAAAACAACCCTATTCCTATTTTCCATTTCCAATAGAGATGATTCCATAGTACCCCACTCCCACCCCCACGTCCCCTTATATGAATCTAAACTATACCTCAAAATTTGTATTAAAAATAAGAGAAAACAAATTCCTTTGTAACTAGAGATCCAGGAAAATATATATTTTCTGGTGAAATAAATTATAGTCATGGAACTTTAAGATTGTCTTTTTCTTGTTCAGTTTTTATGTTTCGAATGAGACATCAATCCTGCACGGGATTTGCAAAGAAGTCCACATGAGGCACATGCTGAAGGGTTGACCGTCATATCGGCTGATATATTGGCCAAAGATTTAGTGTTGGTTCTTAATTCTCTCAGATGGTTCAGACGATTCTTTTCAAAGTTATACCTCGGTGGCAGGTGTTTCTCCAGTTTGTTCGGTTTTCAACAGCAAGTTCAAACTCCTCTATAGGGATGTTTGCAGCATTTAAATTGTATTTGAGTTCGCCCTTGAAGCGTAACCAAGGACGGCCTACATTAAGCTTACCATGAAAAAGTTGGCTATACATGATGATTTTCGACATCCGATCATCACTCATTCTGATGACATGACCATCTGAACTGTAATTACATCAGAAAGAAAACTGACATGACATTTGATGAAAAGATCAGGCTTAGAGATTTTGTCCTGCCGTGTATAAACGCATATTGAACGAAGACTGCGTTTATGAAAAGCATCAAGATGTGCGTCCTGTATGTCACCCACGATTCCGAGCCATAAAGAAGTGTGATGGAAAAATATATATTTAGAAATATATATATATTTAGGAAAACATGACAAACTGGAAAGGTTTTTGTGACGCGTTCCATCCGTTAAGATATCATCGGACTGGGTTTTGTTGACGTTGCCACGTCTACACATGCGCAGGAAACGCGAGACGCAGGTAGTTTCAAAATTTTTTAAAGAATATTTTTGAAAGTCTATTCCGATGAAACCCTAACGGATGAAACGCGTCATGAAAAAAAACCTTTCCAGTCATATTTTATATTTTTCTCAATACTGTTTGTTGATATATAAAATTATACAAAATTCTATATCATTATATGATATATATATAATAATAATGGACTCTCCCGTCGGTTTCGACGTATGAGGATCTTACAGCTTATTGATTCAGTTATAAAAGTTTGTGCGATAATCTTAAGTGGCATTTAAGACCCACTAGTGGTTTACAAAGGAGGCCACATATGGAGCAAATGTGAGGATTGTGAAATGAGATCACTGTTAGATTGGCTGACCTTTTAGATCTTGCTCTCGCTTCTTGAAGATGATTCAGACAAGCAGATTGAAAATTTCTGAGTCCACTAAAACACGTTGATCTCCATTCTACCCGCTCCAAAGCTAAGCGCTCAAGGGTCATCATCAACATCATCATCTCCTTGACTTTTGTAATCGTAGGGCAGATAAGAATGGACACGCATAGACCAACGAGAATTATGATAGACAAATATAAAAATTACACAAACGAACGCTACTAGACAAGACAAATAGACGCGAGGTCTACTTAACCAATGAAAAAATAAACAACACACAAAGTAAGAAAATACTCTTCCATATTTAATTTCTGATGAAGCTTAAATAAAAGCGAACCATGTTAAATTTATAAACATTTTATATTTGTTCATGATCCTATCATTCTGTTGGATATCATTCCAATCCATATTTGATCCCAAAGAAAAGAGTCTTGAACTGTTATGTGATATCGTTCTTCCTGTATGTCAGTAGATGCTGGACAATCTCCTTAAAGATGTAGAAGAAATGAAGCAAGATAAGCGTGGTTCTACAGAAGGCTGCTGAGGATACCATGGATAAAACATGTGAGCAACAACGAAGTTCTAGAGAAAATGGAAACAAAATGAACACTTATACGTATCATCATCATCATCATCATCATTATCCCCTTGACGTTTGTAATCGTAGGGCGGATCTGAATGCAGAAGCCACACTAACTCCTTTCCACAACGGTCGATGAACGGCAGCCATTAGCAATTCTGGTACAGCCATAACTGTTCATTTTTTGACATTGTCCAACCAGTTTTTGCCTTTGGTGTCCTCTCCTACGACAACCGTCAATGGTGCCTTTCATGATAGCCGTGCCTTGTAATGTGTCCAAACCACGCCATTTTTCTCCGTTTGACAATGGCGAGAAGAGGTTCCTGGTGGCCCATAAAACTTTCAACCCTTTTTCGCACAAACTTATTGTTTTTTGTTCCCAATAGTTTTCTCGTGCATTTGTTCTCAAACACTTGAATCCTTCTATCTATCTATCTATCTATCTATCTATCTATCTATCTATCTATCTTTATTCGACTCTCCCGTCGTAATTTGACGTATGAGGGTCAAGCAGCTCAGTTCCTAGGAACCGACAGCCCGACACCAGCACTTGAGATTTAATTATAGTGGTCCCCAAACGACACTGCTCAGTTTTTTGAATTCAGAGTTGCCTTTCTACTAGAGCAGTTGCCATCCAATGCTATAGAACCCAGTCTGTCCTGCTATTTACCCATAGCTAGAGAAGAAGCGGATTCATACCTTTCCCAAGGGTATTAGTACGTAAGTGAATGTAATGGATTCGACTGGAATTCGAACTCGATCTGAGCCGCTATCCCTTACTCCACCGTGCCTCCTCAAATATATATATATATATATATATATATATATATAGATAGATAGATAGATAGATAGAGAGAGAGAGAAAGAGAGAGAGAGAGCGAGAGAGAGAGAGAGTGTGAGGATATAAGAATCAACACTGAATAGTTGGTGTCATTGTCATACCTCAACCATTTTAGTTTGACGTTCATGGTGAGTTGTGTAAAATGTCGATTTAAATGTCGATTCTTTTGCACATTTTCTCTATATCAATAAACGCTCTATCTTTGATATTTATCGTTCGGTTTTTATAAATATATCAAATTTCAAACAAATATATGTCTATGTGTGTGCGTGTGTTTAAAGTTTAAACGATGTTACATATAAGAATTATTCCCAAGGAAATATTAAACCCCATTGTTATGCATAAGTTCAGTCAGTATGAAGTAATTATAGATAGCAATTCAAGATCTTGAATGTATTTCGATAAAACCATGCAACGTGACCGGGAACAAGTCTATAAGATATTCTACGTCATGTCATATTCCAAAGACAAATGCTTTTTTTTCTTTTTCCGAGATAAAGATCGACTACACTGCTTGAATTCTGACTGGATTTGACAAAACAGCGTCTGATTTATCAGCCATATTTGTCAAGAAGGATTGAGAGAGATAAAATCACTATCTGAAGAGATAAGTACCTTTTCTTTCGGAATGTAAGAGAGTTCTTATTATTGTGCCTTGTTCTTGCAGAACGTGGGTGATCATGGCTCTCCACAACTTCCTATCCTTTGTAGATCAAAGCAAGTATTGTACCCTGACTATATCTCTGTTCTGACACCCACTTACACAAGCTCATGAGTTAGATTACTCACTGATTGCTGTATTCATCCTTAACTTCAATATGACCTGTGAGTGACAAATTTTCCTAGCCTACTTTCCTCTATTTGTTTCCCCGAATTTTCATGTTTTATAATTGTAAGTAAAAGTGTCCCTTTCGTTTCCATTTTGCTTAAAACTTCCTCGTTGTTCACATGCTCCGTTTCTCATCATCCTTCTGTAGAACCAAATCTCTTAACCCGTCTCCTTTTCAGTGAGGAAAGTGTCCAGCATTTACCGCTGTAGAGGAGAATTGATATTAAATGCTGGTTCAATGACTTATTCTTTATTTATAACGAAATCAAGTTATCAACTGTATGTAAAAGTTCCCAAGTATCTTTTTTAAACCTAGAAGTCGAATTCTCGACGCTGATGATCATGGTTCTCCCCAACATCCTGTCCTTTTTAACTCTTAGCAATGTTTGTCGTTTTGCTGTCCCTTCCAATCCTTCATCTGTCAACCATTTATACAAGCTTGTTCAGTAGGTTATTCGCTGTTTTTCTTTGTCTCTCGTGCCTTCAGTATGCTCTGTGAGTATCCAATTCTCCAAGCCGCCTTTCCTCATTAATGTGCCCTAGAAATTTCAACTGCATCATTTTGGTGTTAGGTAGAAGTGTCGTTTTTGTTTCCATTGTCCTTAAAACTTCCCGTGTTGCTCACATGATCTGTCCATGGTATTCTCAACATCCTTCTGTAAACCACATTTATGTTGCTTCAAGTTTCTTCTTCATTTGTGAGGAGATTATTCAGCATTGACTGACAGGAGGATCGATATTAAATAAAAGGTCAACATTTTTTCTTTGTTCCTAGCAAAAGTTTCCTGTTTCTTAATACTTTGTTTAGCTTTTGTAAGGCATTTTCTGCTGTTCCAATACAGCTTCGGATTTCGGTGTCACAGTTACTATCGACCTTCAAGAAACTTCCGATATAGTTAAATTTATGTACTTCCTTGATTTTGACATAACCCATTTATAATCTTGCATCATAGGCTGTTCTAGCTTACGGTCATATCACGTTGAAACACCGGTTCTCCCACGATCACCGACGGTAAGCAACGTTGAACCTGGTCAGTACCTAGATGGGTGACCACTTGGGAATACCAGGTGTTGTAAGTTTAGGTATGCGGTTTGTGTAATGGATAACGGGTTAGGAATTGGAGATCCGAGATCCGAGTTTCAATTCCAGTCAGGTTTGTTATAGTCACTTACGCGCAAATACTCCTGGGAAAGGTATGAATCCACCTCTTCTCCCCCCAGATATAGGTTAATTAATAGGACCTGTATCAGTAAATCATGATTATCTCCAAAAATATTCTTACAAACTGAAAATATTTTGTGGCTTTAAATAACCTGCAGAAGATTGATAAAAAATCAATTAATATTCGGCTGCTTTTCTTATTGACAACCATATATTCGGTATGTAAGAGTGTACAACTGCTTGAATTTTAAATCCAGGGTAAAGTAATATTAGTATTGCGTATTAGCTGTGGTCTTGTTAAATTGAAAACAGCTGGAACTGTCGCAAAACTCGATACGGAACATTTTCAACTTTCAACTGATGGTTATCAGTAAGTGAAGTCAACTTCAAAGTACAAAGCAAGAGGCTCGGACAGAGAGAAAGTCACGGAATGAAGATTAATTACTTTTTTATCCGAAGATGACACGACAAAGAAAATTGTTATCTATAAAACTGACCATGACGCAAAAAGGCACACAGAAAGAACGAAGCGGGCCTCGTGGAACGGACAGAGTAGACAGCCGCTGGACTGTGCACCTCCGCCCTCTCACCCACGCCTCATCCCCTACTTCGCTTGCTTTTAGTAGAAGGTTACAACCCAAAGAATAAAATCTGGTTTATTGCTAGAAATTGTTTTGTTTTTCACTCGTGGGTAACTATCTGGCCGAAGGGTAATTTTTACAACACTAGCGTCTGACTGGAAGAAACTGCAATCTGTTAACACAACAGCTGCAATATTCAATTTAAGTTGCCGTTTGCTGAAAATTTCTGCATAGCTTTAGTATTAAATTCTGAGCAACTCTTCATTTCTTAGGAAATCGTAAACGGAAGTTGGGTTTGGCTTGAAATTGAATATCGCTTTGCTCAGACGATGTTTCATTTCTTTTACTGGTTTTTAAAAAATAACTGCATTTTCCTTCTGTGTAAAATAGGAATGGCTTCAATCTGGCGACTTTGTGCGAAGATACATGGCGCCAATGGCAAACCCTTAGCAACGTGCATTATTATAAGTCTTGATAAGCGTATATAGAGTCTGCAGTATTTAACTATGTAATCGCCATTACAAAGAAAGACAGAATGAAAGAATGAATGTACGAGTCAAAAATGAATGCTTGAATGTTTTAGTATGTCCCCCGCCAAAATTGACATCGTTTAAAATGTGAATATCTAAGTAGCTACATGTCCTAGGCGAACGAAATTAAATAAGCTTCATGTTGAACAATAGAAGATTTACTTACCCAAATGCGATATTCAAAGGGATGTAGATTTTATAAACAATTTTAAAAATGTTTAATATGCGCATCACCTTTCACGTCAAGTCGGCAGCCCAGCTACTATCAAACACGCTGTAGCATGTCTTGCGTAACATTCTCCAACGTCTCAGTGATTCTTTGCTTAAATTCCACTAGGCTTGTAGACAGAAGTGGGATATAGACTTATTCTTTCAAATAACTCCATAGAAAAAAGGACGTGTCAAGTCAGGTGAATGTGGTGGCCATTTTAATTTCACATTGTCATTATCACTGGCACGCCAGTTCCATCTTCATGGTAGATTCTCATCGAGATATGTTCGCACTTAGGATCTGGAGAATGTTACGCTACAGCGTGTTCGGCAAGAGCTGGACTACCGACTTGATGTGAGTCATGTCACAGGTGGTTCGCATATTGAATATTTGTGAAACTTTGTGAAATTGGTTATATCGGTTTTCCTCTTTATTATTCTCTCTTTTTTAAACTTATTCACCATTCTCTTGATGGTTCTTGAATGTACTTTGAAAATGGAAGCCATAATATGAATATTGGTGCCATTATTGAAGGTCTGAATGATCTATTTCCTCTCACCATTGCTCAGTTGGGAAGACATAGTGAGCCTGACACAAAACGATTTTAGCCTGTTCTCTTTCTAGCTGAATAACTCAAAGGTTTTTAGTTATTCATACGACAAATGAAAAAAGAAACTCAATTAGTTTAGTTGTTTTTTTTAAGATATTAAACATTTTGTGGGATGGACAATTATGCTGTTACATGATTTGGACAATTTTTCTGCTACACCCAATATATATAAAAGAAATTAAAACTTCACTTTTTTTCCCCACTTCAAGTGTGTCACCACATCTTTCGACTATTTCTATTGTTGTATAAAGTTTTACATTCCCCCGCCTTTCATCTAACCCTAAAAGCGATCGTAGAACCAAAATGTTATCATTTGAATTCATCTGACTTATTTTGAAAGGAGACTCCCGTAAATAATTTGTTTTGTTTTTTTTTTCCGACCAAAAGGAAGTAGAAATGGATATGCGGATTAAGTAAAGGTTACTGGCACAGAAAGTGGAATCGACAGGACGAGTTCAAGTCCCATCCTAGTCAGTTGATTTCACATCGCACTAATACTAATCCTTTTTTTTTTAATCTTTTAAAATCTTTTACTTATTTAAAAAAAATTAAATTTTTAATTTTGTTTTATTTTTATTTTAATTTTTTTTCTCCACCTTTGCATTCTGGAATTACTTTCTACATAAGGAGTGTGTCTGTAAGTGATGCATTTACAATATTTATAGATATGAAATTTATAATCTTTTTTTAATCTTAAATTTTTTAATCATTTTGTAATCTTTAGTTTTTTCATCTTTTAAAGTCCTTTTTTTTCATTTTCTTAAAATAATTTAAAATTTTTTTTTAAAAATCTTTTCTTTAATTTTTATCCTTATCTTACTTTTTTTTTTTACTCTTTTGTTAATCTTAAATTTTTAATCATTTTTTAATCTTTATTTTTTCATGTTTGAAAATCCTTCATTTTTTTAATCTCCACTTTTGCTTTCTGGAATTACTTTCTATATAAAGTTTGGGTCAATAAGTGCGTAGCTTGATGTAATTATTTACTGATATTAAATTTATAAAATCTTTTTTTAGTTTTTGTCATTGTATTCATTTGTTTTATATTTGACAATATATTAATAGACGTCTCTCTCGTTGTATGTGTACATGTGTATAATCATTTCTACATTGATCTTATTGTGACGACATATTTTAGTCCCCATTTATTCTATTAATTTTATTAAAATGGAAAAATTCTTACCAAATATTTTGAAGCTGACACTAAATTTGCTGTAAATATTTCTGCCAGAACTGCTCAATCCTCCCTTTCCAGCCTCGACAGAGTTCAAACGTGGCCTTGTGGGTGATGAATTATTTTTACATCTTTTTTTCCCCCCACAGTTGTTATGTCACAAGCCTATTGCTTGTCTATCATTAATTCCATTGAAAATATTCTGACAAGCTACATTACCTAGTTACACCAGTTCAGACATTTACAAACATACTAGGCCTTATATACAGAGGTGGACCATACTCATTCCTTTTGTATTTCATTGGTAAGGAGGAAGTTCTATTCAGAGGGGTTTCTTCCAAGAGCTATTGCTTTGTGTCAAAAACTTCCGAGAGGAAGATTATGTTTTGAAGTTCCATGAATTGAGCAATTCAAAGTTATTTCTTCAAAATTTTTTCATCATTTTTTTTTAAATTTTAGAAAATCCCTTTTTTTGTCATTTAAAAAAATCTTTTTTTTTTTTTAAATCGCCACCTCTGCTTTCTAGTAGGATTTTCTACATAAAAAAAATGGGTCGGTAAGTCTATAGCTTAATACAGTTATTTACTGATATTAAATTTATCAAATCTTTTTAGTTTTTGTCATTGTCTTCATTTGCTTTATATTTGACATTGTATTAATAGGTGACACTTTATGCGTATAATGATTTCTGTATTGATCTTATAATGATTTCTGTATTGATCTTATAATGATTTCTGTATTGATCGTATAGTGATTAGGTAGTGTACTCCCCATTATTTCGAATTCTTCGTTTTCTGGCTAAGAGTGACTCCAGACTGGACTCTACAGTTTGGGTTGGTAGCCAGTCTTGGAGAAAGACAATTATGAATTCAAAAACTGTGTAGAAAGAAACCAAAAAGCCAATCAATCGACCAAAATCCGCCCTGAGCTTTACCACTCAATCCTTAATGTCATTTATGCCACCCCCGGTTTTAAAACGGTCGCAACGAGATAGATCAACTCTCAACGTCGTCCAGTTTTTCTCCGTTTCCGGTGATGAAATCTTTTTGGGCAGCATTAACTTGCATGAATTGGCTTTTAACTGTGCTGATGTAAAGCCCAACCTGCTTAGCCAATCCTTCTAATCTATCAGTTTTTGTCTGCTTCTGTTGACGTTTTGATAGCATTATAGCCGTGTCCACTGAAAATGGAAAAAAAAAAAACCGGAAGTATTCCAAAGTAGATAGATGTTTGTATTGGAATTTTGTTCGTTAGACTATGTATTTCTGCAAGTTTCGTTCGCGCGCACATATTTCGATAAAATCTGTGGCGTTCAATTTCACACTATTCCCCTTCTGAAAGATATGAAACAACTTCTTTATTCCTGCTATGGAGTAAATAGCAGGGTAGACTCTACAGTCTAGCCTTGATTGGTAGCCAATCTAGGAGAAAGATTACTCGGAATTCCACAGAAATCACTGTATTATCTATTTCAAGAAGTCGTCGCAATTCACTGATAATAAAGAAAAGGGAAGCTGTGGAGAATCATAATTTTTTACCTGAAAGACTATAGCATCTTTTTAAAAAAGCGATAGTTAACCAGCTTCATTGACCATCCACTCACTTGTTCGATCCTTGTGAAATACTACTCTAGTGTACCCGTGTCTGGTAGACTAAGCTTTTGAGTTTGGGCACACTGTCACATTTTCACCTAAATCCTCATTTTTTTGAGGTGTGTGTGTATGTGTGTGTGTGTGGGGGGGAATTTTGTAAACGGTGGACATGTATATAGCTAAAGATTGCTCAGCTAAGAATTTACTTTGAACCACTA